ATGAACGAATGTTGCAAAATAATGATCAATTTATAAAATGTTATTATTGTCAAATTTATTATTTAAAAAATGATGTTTATTATTATCCTAACGATTTTTTTCATTGTTATTGTCCAACATGTAAACTATTATACGGTTGTTAATAAATTTTTAATATTTTTTATAGATGAAAACAGTAAAAATAATAGATTCAAAAGGATGGTCTTTATATGCTACCAAAGGAAGTGCTGCTTTTGAATTACGTAGTAGTGAACAAAAAATAGTATTACCGTTTCAACGCATGTTATTCTCTACTGGTGTTTTTATATTAAAAATGGATCATGATCTTCAAGGTTGGATTACATCCAAGTCAGGTTTAGCTTTAAATCATGGTGTTACAGTATTCAATTCGCCTGGAATTATCGATTCTGATTATAGAGACGAAATTTGTGTTATACTTTATAATTCTTCTATTGAAGCATATACTGTTACTGTAGGACAATCTATTGCACAAATGACTTTTGTACCTGTTTTTCTTTGCAGAAAGAATTTCATGGACTGTAGATAAAAATAAAAATAGTCAAATGGAAATACAATCGATGTTGTCTGATAATGAAAGAAAGGGAGGTTTTGGTTCGACAGGGCTGTAATATTTTTATATAATATTTTGAAGTCTAATATATTTTTTTTGTCTAAGGATAATTGTCTTTTTGAGGCCCCTCCCCCCTTTGTGAAGGAGGGTAGGGACCAAAAAGGGCTCAAATGGAAATACAATCTATGTTATCTGAAGAAAGAAAAGGAAGTTTTGGTTCAACAGGACTTTAATATTTTTTATATAATTTTTTTGTACTTTTTTTTAGATGCCTTATAAATTTATATAAATGGCTAATCAAATTATTAATAATATGCAGAACGGCAACAATTTGATAAAAGATGTGGAAAATGTAACACTGACCGAGATGCCCAATAATTGTAAATTTATTGTTTATAATGGTAATCCAATGGATTTACTGGTAAACCAATGTAAAATGGATGACAATAAAACAGATTTTTGTTATCAAAAAGAAGATGCAAGTGATAATGAAGAAGTCAATGCAAGTGTTAATGAAGAAAATGAAGAATGTGTACACAGTGATTCAGATGACGAAATTCTTGAATGTGTACAAAGTGATTCAGATGACGAAATTCTTCATGAAATATTTGATAATCGAAAATATTATCAAATAACTATTAAAAAACCTAATTTAAATGAAGAATTAAATAGTCTTCTTGAAGAATTAAATAGTCTTCTTGAAGATTTAGTGAAAGGAAGTGATGAAGATAATGATGAAGAAAATGAAGAATGTGTACAAAGTGATCAATGTAAAATTAAATTAGACAAGATTAAACAAGATATAAGTGATATTCAAATAAAATATGAAAAATCTAATTCAAATGAAGAAATAGAAGAAGAATTAAGAAATTTAGATATTAGAGTTAGTCTTCTTGAAGAACCAAATGGTTTACCTGACGGTCAAAAGATCTTTGTAATCCAAGATATAGTAAAACGAATGAATATTAATTCGAATGATTATCGTTCTACTCTTTTTTCTGCTCCGTTTTTTTATAAAAATTATAAAATGTCAATAAGAATTAATTTTAATATGGATCTTGAATATCATATTGAAATGATACATGGCGACTATATTGGTATATTTGTTGTTTTAATGCCACACATTTATGATGCTGTTTTAAAATGGCCGTTTAGTCATAAAAAATGAACAATATCATTATTGGGGAAAAATAAATTTAAAAAATCGTTTATAACCGGTGACGATATTTATTATCAAAGACCTATTAAAGATCGAATGAATCGAGCTTTTGGATTTGGAAAATTTATAAACAATACTGACCTTTTAAATTATATTGTAGAAGATTCTCTTTTTATTAAATGTAAAATTCATTAATTTTTTTTTTATTTTATTTTTTTTTAAAAATTTGTAATTTTTTTTAGGTAACTAATAAAAAAATGTTGTATAACATGATAGAAAAATTAAAAGAAAAAGATAAAGAGTTGGCTCATCAATGTGAAAAGTTGGACGATTATTTAAAAGGAATACGTAATTTCAAGAGGAAAGAAATGATGCGTTTATTGAATTTATAAAAGATAAAGATATGTTCATGAATTTCGATACTTGACAAAAACAGAACTAGTTCAAAATTTAAAAATAAAAATACGTCACGAATTATTTAGTTTAATTAATAAAATAGAGTCGATATTAATTGCTGATTCTTAATTATTTTGTAATATGATTTTATAATAAAAATTTTTTTTTAGATGTTTAAAACAATTAGAAAAAATGTTAAAAATATGATAAAAGATGAACATATGGAAGATTTGCAACAGTTGCAACTATTTGCTGTTAGCGAAAGTTTTGATTGTGAGCAATATAAATGTGTTAAAAAAACTTTTGAAAAATTTGATAAAGATGTGGATATGATCAAATATGAACAAAATAAAATTGTTTTTAATTTTGAACTTTTACATTTATATACCAAGATTGTATTAGATTTGTATCATCAGTATACAATTTGTATACAATTTACAAAATGTGAAAAATTACTTGAAAAAAAGATAAATGTAATGAATAGAATAGGAAAATTTTTAAGGAAATTGTTACATTATGATTTTGATAAATGTGTTAATTTATTACTTTAAAATAAATTTTTTTAGAAAACTAATAATGTCTGATCTTATTTGTGAACCATCAGATCAAAAAAAAGAAAAGTTAGAAGAAGATGAAGTTCAATTAGAACCGGAATTACTCAAAGAAATTCAAACTTTACAGCAACTGGCTGATATTGATGATGTTGATGTAATAATGTTATTGAAATCATCGACAAAATATATGATGGTTTAATAAAAAATATTAAAATGAAGTATAATAATTTATTACTTGGCAGATGTTATTATGTTAGCACGTTAAACCAAAAACGTATTTACGATTTGCATCATAAATGTTTATTTGATTTATATCAAAAATTTAGTTTTTCTACTGCAAGATTGTATCTTGAAATGAAAGAGTTACGAGATCTTTGTTATTCTGAAAAAGTTAGTTTTTCTTCTACAAGTTTGCATCATGAAATAAAAGAGTTACAAGATATTTCTACTGTAAAATTGGATCCTGAATTTAAAGATATTTGTTATTCTATACATAAAAAATGTTATCCGAAAAAAGAAGTTTTGCTTGTTGAAGAAAAACTGAAATTAAAAAACACTTTAGCATATAATAGATACCGTGTAATTTGTAAATTATATAAAATGCTGAGTAAATTTGATAAACAAGTTCGATATTTAAATGACGATTATATGAGTGATATACAATATTTAGGGGGTGATTTACTGTTAATTCCATCTAAAAAAAATATTTTTTTAGATGGAATTAACAGTAAAAATAGTAAATGAATTTTTGAAAAATTTTTTATCGCACAATGAAATTTGCCCGTTTACGTTTGAAGAATTGATTATTCAAGCTAAAGAATTTCAACCATTTGTATGTAAAGAATGTGAATTAAAAGAAGAATATTTGTATAAAGATGGTCAGGATAAATATTTTGATAACAATATGTGGGATATTTTTTTTCGATACGAATTTACGAGATCTGAAGAAATGGCTTATAATCATCAATTAGTTGTTATGTTGACACAAGGATTTAAAAAACATTTGTTACATACCATAGATCGATTTTTACCACAAAAAACTTTAAAATATTTTATATTTTTTTTAAAACTTTCATAAATGTAGATGTGTTCGTTTCACAAGTTAACAAATTGAACAATGAAAATAATAAAGTTGATAATGAAAGAAAATGTTATTATTGTAATAATCTTTATTAATTTGTAATTTTGTTTTCAGTTAAAATGAATAGTAAAGAAAAACATGACAAAGATCTTAAAATATTTGGATCACAAATAATCCCCGATGAGAAAATTGACGAATCAGTAATAAATTTAGATCATAAAAAAGCATACGAAACTTTAAAAGAAATTCTTTTTCAATATCAATATGTAGGTGAAAAAGATCGATATCAAACTATAGCTAATTATTTTGTTTCAAGTTTGAAGGAAATATTTTGGTCAGCTCAATCTTTATCTAGAGAGAAACGTAATACAATAATACAAACTCATTTGCTTTGGATAAAAACTATGAAAGAACTTTGTAATAAAGGAATAATAATATCAAATGATATAATTAAAAATAATTATTGTACTGAGAGTAAAAAAAGATTTTTGAAATTTGAAATTGAATTAAAAAATGATATGATAGAATGTTTAAATTTGTATACTTGTTGTCCTTATTGTGAATATAATAAAATATGTTAATATTGTATATGTTAAAATTTTTATTAGATGATAACAGAAACTAAACTCAATAATATTTTGGAATTGTTAGAAATGGATGCCATTTCTCTTCATAAAATACAATTTGTATCTATGGAATACATGTTGCACGAATTACACGAAAAAATGGATTGCGAATTTAAAGACGAATATAATTGGGGTTCATTGATATCAACAAATAAAAGACAAGTGCCAATGGAAATAGCTAGTTTTGTATTAATTTTAGCTTTATCTAAATTAAAAAAAGGTGAATTTCCAACTGATGATTTTTTTGAATTTTATGATTTTTTTAAAAATTATCATCACTAATCAATATATATATATTTTAATTGCAATAATATTGCAATTTTATTGGCCAACATTGCCAATAAATTGCAATGGATTGGCAATATATTGGGCAATAATATTGCAATATTGACAATAAAATTGTTATAATATTGGCCAATATCTTGGGCAATAATCTCGCAATAAAATTGCAATTATATTGGGCAATAATCTCGCAATATTGACAATAAAACTCTTTGCAATTTTATTATCGTCTAGCAGCAGCGCTGAAAGTTGACATTTGAAAGAAACATTTATGTACACTTTCAATTCATACTAAATTCGAATTTTAAAAATTAAATAAACAACTAAATTAAGAATAAATAAGATGGTGTATTTATTTAACACACAAAACATACAAAACACATTACAGATAGAATGGGGGGGGGGGGGGATAAGCGAAAAACGCTGACAACCCCACACCACAAGAAAAATGTCACTCATTTGTTTAGTCTTCAAACTTTTGTACTACTTTTATTGTCTCGGAAAAATTGATTAATACTCGCCCGAACAACACGCCAGTTGTAAGACGTAAACACTTTGTCAAGTGCACCTTTAACTTCCTGAATTTCTTCATTCTCCATATGAATGCGTGCAGTTGGTCCGTTTGGTTCACAAATACGCGTGCAAGTAAACTCCTTTCCGAATCGCAACAAAATAAATTTTCTTGCAAAGCTACATGGTTCTCGTTTTTGAATGTCGTGCAATTTAAATTCGGCATCAAAACCAGTATACACGGCCTAAAAAGTATAATACAGATAAGTTCGGATTTAGTAAACATTTTTCAATGGATGGTCAAATTATGCAACCTTTTGTATATAAATGTACCTTTCCTTTAGCAATCAATATTTCTTTTATTCAATTTGGTAAATACTAGCAAGTTGTGCTCTCATTGGATGAGCTTTTTTTAATTAAATTACAAAAATTAAATTGACTTTCATTATCATTATTTACAGATTCTTTTTCTATTGGGCGCAAAATTTCAGACAACAGTTTGTTGGTCTTCTTTTGTTCAAAAAGAAGTTTCTTTTGTTCAATCAAAATTGCTAATGTTAAAAAAAATATATACCACTTCTATGTACAAGTACAATATGGTAGAACTTAGGCAAACACAGTATTCATACTATAGGACTGTAACTAACCTTCTAAACAAGATAGTTTGCTTAACTTCGGTGAACCACAGTGTTTTGTTTTAGGAACATCACTAATTATTGGAAGCATCAATGCTCTGGGAGCATCAACATTGTCAAGTAGCATGTCAAGCTTCCGCTTTTCCAAAGCCATAATCTGTGCTTCACTTTTTTTAGATCCTTTTTGACTGTTATAAATTGATGCAAAGGACTCTGATTCTATAAATGAAAAAGACAATAAAAATATGTTCAAGAAATTACATAAACAAAATTGTAATATTATTAAAATTACCTGAATTTTCATTCAACACTTCATTTACATGTTTTTTTTTCAGCACCTTTGATTTAGGAGTCGATTTATATTTAGGTCCGTTTAGGCCTGTATGTTCTGAGACCGATGCAATATTCTCTGAATCTATAAAAAAAAACATGAACAAGTTGTGGTTACAAACATATAATCATGGGTGTACTTGGGGCTAGGCTACTAGTGGATCCAATAGATCCCCACCTACCATCGGATAGTGCAACTTTAACTTGTGTTGATAATTTTTGTGTGAATTTTGTGTCATTTTTTATTATTTAGCAAAAATGTTTAATTAATTATTACTTGTGTAGCAGACATAATAACTAAACTCTGTCTGGCAACAAAGGTAACCTCCTTTTTTTTGACCCAGGGTGCTATTGCACTCCGGCACCATGGTCCAGTTCACCGCTACACAGAAGAGTAAATTTTAAATAAAATTACTATAATATTGTCTTGTCATTGTCACATATTTATATTACATAAGTTACCTGAGGATTGGTCTCCATCAGAATGTTTTCTTTTTCCGTCAGTATTGCCTTCAATATAATTGAGGGCAAACTTGCTTACTTCATCAGTGCTAGGATTTTCATCACCAAAATCGTCCATGAAGTTATCTAGCAATGTTTCAAATTTACAGCATTGGGTAATAGACCCCTTATAGATGATGACAGCTGCGTGTTGTATATTTGCAATAGAAACATGCACTACATTTTTCTAATCAGTAAAAAACATTAAATTTAATTATCAACACACCATAAATAGTATAATAAAAGCAGGGGCTTCCATTTTTCAACATCCCTAAAAAGTGGGCATCTAAAATACTTCTTCCATTTTAGGGTGGGCTTCTATATATTCAGCTATGTAAAAAAACAAAAAAAACATTTTTATCTTATTCGTGGGCATCTAAAATACTTGCTTCTATTTTAAGGTGGGCTTCTATATATTCAGCTAATAGCTGATAGCTGATATATTCAGCTAATAGCTGGTATGTTAAAAAACAAAACAAAATTTATCTTCTTTGTCAATTATAGGGAGGGGGGATAAAATTTAAGGGTGGACTTTAATTATATTATGTATGGTAAATGCTGTCAGTTTTTTTTAACACACTTACCACTTGAAATTCAAGGCATTCAACGGATGAATAATGCTTAAAAAGTGTATTTGAAAGTGATATGGGAGAGGTATGCCGCTCATCTTTTTCACAATCCTTGTACCATAAAAGAACAAACGTAGAAGAAAGCTTTTGAGTGTCTACAAAATCTAATTTCTTTGTTCTATTTCTATCAGGGTAAGTCATTATTTAATAAAATATAAACATGTAAAAAAATTCAATCAAATTATCCAATTATTTTAAATCAAATTATCAAAATATTAAAAACAAAAATGTTTGTTAGTATAAAAAAACACACATGCATGATGAAGCATATTTATTAATTACAAAATTTACATTTAGCCACCCTAAGCATATTCGAAAAGTTCTTTCAATGGTGTCAAAATTAATACATCTTTTGTATCTAATTTACTTTTAATTAATATACATTTGCAGACTAAAGTGTCAGCTGAAATAACAACAATGTTTTTTGTTTGTTCAACAATAAAAAAGAAGTCATCATCAAAGTTAATTTCCAAATTTCCAATCATATCACCAAAAGTAGAAACTAACTTACACTTCACATTCAATAGTTGTAACTGAACATGTATTACATTGTCAACTAAAGGAAAATCTAATATGATACCAAACTTATTATGTCCAAATTGACTAGTGTAGCTGTTATGTTTGCCATAACCTTTTGAATGGTAAACAATACCATGTTTCAACAATCTGCCCGGATTTAACAACTGCAATTCTTCTTGTTCAATAATGCCAATATTTAATGCTTTACAAACTTCAACTTTTTTAGGATGATCTGTTGTTTGCAAAAAACAAGAAGCTGTTTTGAAGTCAAGAAATTTTTGTACAATCTGTTGTGGATGACCATGTGTTCCCTTCATCATTTTTTTATAATTACTTAGCCGAGCTTCAAAACAAAACATTGAGTAATTTGTAACACTTCCATGCATTTTAATAATATCGCTAACATGACCAAGCAAATGAACATTTATAGTATTCATATATAAAGGAAGCAACTCAGACAATGATTTTTGATAAAAGTTAAACAGCTGACTAATAAGCAACACCTTATCTAAACATATTTCACTGCTACACAAACGCATACCAATTACTAGAGAATAAATCATCATCATGCAGTCAGGATTCAAATATGGTAAAAAATATGGAACTGCTAAGTATAAAATAAAGTTTTTAAAGTCATGGCCTTTCCAATGTGTGAATGATTTAATAGTTAATGGCTTGGGCATGTTATGTGGCATTTTTTGATCAGCAAGTAAGATTTTCATAGCATTTAATTTTGCACTACCAATAAAAAATGATTCGTGTTTATTGGTAACAAAATAAACAAACTAAAAGCTTTTTTGAGCAATTTTCGTAAAACAAATGTAACACATCAATAAGTATCATATCTGGCACTTTAATAAATGAAATGTCACTAAAGATGTTTGAGCCTTTAATTCCAAATACAGATACTTTTGATTTTTCGGCTAATCTAGCATATATGGCATACATTTCAGATGTTTTAAGATTATAATTTGTATCTGAATGTGAATAAATTCTAGCGGAACCATGTTTTCTTTCAATTGTTCAACCAGGATGTTCGCAATAGTGACATCCAAATTCACCATTATACTGCTTATGATTGATGATTGAAGCCACTGCAGGCAAATCGAAAACAAAACCAACAATATGAATAACTACTTGGATATTGTTAATTTCAAGGGGTGTTTCAAACAGTTTTCCATTGATGTACTCTTAAAAAAAAGTTTGTAATATAGTAACGTTGCCCAATTTATTCTTGTCACGGCTGGAACAGTGAATTCTACTACTCTAGGTAATTCCATTGACAACTACTTTTAAAATAAAAAATAACAATCAATAATTTAATTACCTTTAAATAAGCATTCCAATTAGGTTTTAATAATGAGAACCATAAACCAAGAAGTAGTGTATTTTCAAATAGGAATCGTTTATTAGATGGTAAATCTAAAATAATAGCATGAAATGGCCACATTGTAATCTTTTTTTTTTGTGTATGGTTCTCCACCATCTGTTGACATCAATAAATGAATATGTAAAACATTTGCAGACTTCATATTTTCAACAAAATTTGGTCTAGAAATAAAATCACTCTTTCTTTTACCTGACATAATTTCCAATTAATATGATTTAATTGCATCCAAATTCAGAAATAAAACAAGTTTCATTTGGCTAATGATATCCAATATAAAGATATGGGATGAACAATGAGTATTTATTTTACACGTGTCAACTAAAGCTGTGCAGCAATTATGACAATAATATTTATGCGTTGGTTCAGTATGGGATAATATATTTTTAGTAACAAATCTACGAATCATTTTATGAGATGACGGCATGTCATTTATACAGCGAAAAATCTATTAAAAAAATTTAAAAATTAAAAATATATTTTTTCAAGCTTTATCAACCAAACTAAGCCTCAAGTTGAAATAAAAATAGCCTAAAATAAATAGAAAAATTGCAAACCCCAGCCTCCAGTTGAAATAAAAATATGACATACTTCATTATTTTTATAATTTAATAATTTGTAAAAAAAATAATTTGTAAAAACTATAGATATAAAATATATAATATATAATTGTAAAATATTATATAATATATAATTTGTAAAAAAAGTCGGATAAAATTTTCACAAGTAAAATGTTTTATAATTAGGAACGTTCTGCATTACTTTATCAGACTTTTTTTACGAATTATTGGCAATGTGCACCATTTCTGGTAGCAGCCAGAGATAAATAGCCAGATCAACATTTATTGCTAAGGACTAAGTTGATTGATAATTTTATTAGCTTCACAATATTCATTTACTAGTACATTGCACAATTTAAACTACATCTAACATACCAGCAAAGTCTTCAAAAATCTATCAAATGCGATTTCAGTAAATAAATTGCTAATCATTAAATTCAACAAGGTTAAAAACATAAACTTTTTGTTAACAATTGAATCCAATAAAGAACATTCAAATGGATTAGAACTAAAGAACTGAAACATGGAAGCACTCGATTCTTCCTCAGATACTAGAATTTGATTTTCTTCCTCAGATACTATAGATACAATTTCTTCTGTCTCTTGGGTAAAACTACCATCATTAACATTATCATCTGTATTGCTACAGTCGGACTGAGAACTACTATTAGTAATTTCCTCTTCAGAAGAAGTAGACTCAGCCGTAAAATGTAAAGTTCTTCTCTCGTACTTTCTATTAAAAAAATTTCGTTTCATTGCACATATATTCACCATTAATAAAATTTTATGAGTCTTTACTTATAAATAACTATGTTATTTTTGCACGGGTATCTTGTGTGGCCAGACAGGTTTGCTGGGCTCATGCAAGCCATGTCTAACGTGCGCCGAAGAAACCTGCCTGGCCGCACTTACACTGCAGTATAAAGTCCAATGAAAGCATGCTTGTAACTTCAGTTACAATCATAAAATCGATTACCTAATATTAGTTGCAATAATATTGCAATAATATTACAATTATATTGCAATTATATTGTTACATTTTAACAACAATCTTGCTACCGCTTATAAACCCATTAAATTTATGTCAAACAAAAAAATGACACAGGCAATTAGATAAGCATCAGAATTATTTATATTTAAATGCATCTAAATTACATTTACAAACACATTACATTTGTATAATTTTATTGATATTTTATTGGACAATTAATTGAGCAATATATAGCAATTTAAATTGAACGCGCAATATGTTGTAATAAACCGCAATATATGTCGATTAGTGATGACAAAGAAAAATTTATTTACCAATTAAATGAAAAAATTGAAGATAGCAGGAAATGGTATTATGGTAAACGAAAGTTAACTGTATTAAAACTCAATGACGTTATGAAAACATTTAGCGAACGACAATGGATTGAATCTACAGTTCATAATACATATTCAGATGGTATGATGAAATTTACTTTATCAGATTTGTACGATAAAGCTTTAGCATATAAAGAAATTTGTGGAAAATGTAAAATTATTAAAAATGATGAACAACTTGAAAAACTTAATTTTCCAATTCCAAAAGATTCTAAATTAAATGTACCAACGGATTGGATAGATTTTTTTTATTATCAATTTCCTCATAATTATGTAATTTTATTTTTGCTAGAAGTATTGTTGTCAAATTATCCATATTATAAAGACGAAATTTTTTATAAGTTTTATATGTTTTTTGAAAATTGTGATAAGAATTTATTTATTAATCAAGTTAATTTAAAAGTGTATGATTATGTAAACAAAATTTTTTACTATTAATAAAAGATTATTTTTTTAGATGGAATTTACAGAAATAATATTAAATTGTATAATGGATTCTTTTAAAAAAATTTGTGAAAAAGAAAATTGGACAGTGGCAGATTTACAATTTAAATATATGGAATATAACGCAGATTGTACTTTAGGAAATGAATCTGAAATGGAAAATATTTTTGAAGAAACAAATAGCTTTGTTAACAATCATCGTGTTGTTGTGTTGATAATTTTACAATATATAAGACGAAATTTTCATGTTTATTTAAATGTAAATTTTAACATGTTTTATCAATTTTATGAAAATATGAGCGAATCAATAAAAAAAAAATGGATTAAAGAAATACAAATGTATATTAATCTATGCATCAGTTGGAGATATTATTTAAAAGAAGATACGAACGAAGACGTTTTTTATTAATTTTTGTTATATTAATATAATTATTATTTTAGATGAAAAAATATAAAATATGGATATGCGAAGAAAATATCAACAACAAGATTCATAAAAAAAATATTAATCGAAAAACAATGCGAAGAAGTTACAAATGTATTATCGTTTACATTATGTGAAATGAGTAAAGAAATAGATTTGATAATAAAATTACATAACGAAAGAAAAAATCAACGAAAAAAACGAAAAATTATAATATTTGAACTGACAAATAACGAAATGATATCAATTATGATGTTTTTTGTAAATTTGTTATATTATATATGTATTCTTAAAAATTTTTTTGTATTTTTTTTTCAGAAAAATAAAAAAAATGACTTTATCAGCTAAACAAAAATTGGCTTTTGAATGGTTTGACGAAGGATTAAATTTTTTTATTACTGGTAGTGCTGGTTGTGGTAAAAGTTATATACTTGATGCTATTGCTTCTAGCGATCAA